GCCACATGGAAAGGTGGGGGAGAAAAATCAACCATATTTACTTAAATGTTTTGTCCGTCTTGTATCACTTCTTACTTTGTCTAAGCTGGTTTGCCTGTTTGCACAATGAGGAGAGGTGGAACAGCATGGCCTGGAAAGCCTTGTATTATTGATCCATCTTCCTCCTTTTTCAATGTTATTGCAAGTCAGGTCAGAAGAAGAGAATTTTGAATGTTTGCATTTTGTGTCGTCTTTATACAGATTGCATGAAATTATTTAGTTAACCTTTCCCTATGGAAAGCTCAGCAATGCCTGAATGGAACAACCTGGGACAGTGCAAGGTGTCTCTAGAGATGCCTCCAGTGGCAGGGAGTTGGAATCAGCTGGAATTCAAATGTCCTGAACCTTTGTGAAACAGCTGCAAAACAACCTGGAACAGAGAGGGCAGAGACAGGACAAAACCAATCATCAAGCAATAGAAATTATCTGATCTTTAGTTTTAAACCTGGTTTGGTTCTGAGCTGAGCTGCTTTACCCATCTCTCTGAGCAGTGTGAAGTCTCCAATGCCTTTGCATCAATGTGCAGAAGTTGCCAGACCCTTTGTGTTTGCTGCTGGGCTGGATGGGACTGCTGGGAAGGCAATGAGCTGTATAATTTATGTTGGAATGTCAGCATCAGAACAGGCATAAAATTACAACTCGCTTGCACAGGCAAAGGAGCAAGATCTTGGGTTTCCTGGACTGTCACAGCCATCTCTCGGTGAGGCTGCTCTTGGGGACCACTGGAAAGCTTTACTTGCTGGAGTGAGATTGGGTTATGGTTTCAGTTTGGGAAGCCAGCAAAAAACATGCTGTCCTTGGTTTTGGAAGGACAGGTTGGTCTTTTTCATCCCAGACAGATCTTTTGTGCCCAGAGCTCTTGTAGATTGGGAGAGAGATAGCTGCCACCACCTGCATTGGGGACCTCTGCTAAACCACCTCAGAGCACTGCCAAAGGGAGATATTACACTAGGAAATGAGGGAAAAGCACACTCCATATGGACTTTGTGCTCAAATCACCTCCAAAGAGGGATGCTGGGATGTGCTTGACAGGCTGGGTTTGTCCCAAGACCCTTTCCAGCTCTCCTGGAGCCCCTGCCAGGGCCTCAAGGGGCTCCAGCAGAGCTGCACAGGGACTGGGGACAAGGCAGGCAGGGACAGCACACAGGGAATGGCTCCCACTGCCAGAGGGCAGGCACAGATGGGAGATTGGGAATTAGGAATTGCTGGCTGGGAGGGTGGGCAGGCCCTGGCACAGGGTGCCCAGAGCAGCTGTGGCTGTCCCTGGATCCCTGGAAGTGTCCAAGGCCAGGCTGGATGAGGCTTGGAGCAGCCTGGGACAGTGGAAGGTGTCTCTAGAGATGCCTCCAGTGGCAGGGGTTTGGAATGAGATGGAGTTTAAGCTCCCAACCCAAACCATTTTGGGATTCTATGGTGCTCTGATTTTATGGTAATCGGTGAAACAGTGCTCAGCTGCTGCTGCTTGTGAGGCTGGGGCAGCCCTGGATGGGGGTTGAGGAAGGTTATAAAGCATTCCCCATGCCGGTCCTATTGTTCTTCAGAGAACAGCCTGACCTTTGTGGGGACCCAACTCTAGGGGCTGAATGCAGTGGCTGTGAAAAAGTGACCCCAAGGAAACCTGGGGGAGGGGTGCCAGGCAGCTGGGGGCACAGTTGTCCAACCTCAGCCCTGCCTGGCACTGATTTGGGTTGTGTCTACTCTGCCAGGCCTAAATTCCTTAGAGGTTAAAAAAAAAAAAAAAAATCTAAATTCATTGAAAACGTAAAAAAAAATACCCTCTTCTCTTTGTTTTCTCACTTGTCTAATCACAACCAAGCTCCCAGCTAGGGGAGCCATGCAGGGATCTTGGTGTGCCAGCAGGTGTGATCCCTCAAGGTGTGGAGCAGCAGGAGCGATGCATTTGGGAGCTAACATTTGGTGTGTGTGAAGGGCTAGACACCTGAAGAGGATGCCCACAGATGTGAAAGAGCTGCAGTCTATTTCTCCTCTCTTGTGAGCTTGTATTCTCCCATTTCCTTTAGGGCCAGCTCCTGCTTGTCCTTGCAGGAGACTCACCCTGCAAGAGGCACCAGCTCTTATGCTGCAGCTGTGTCCACGGGGTAGCAGCCAAAAAATGAGTTCCAGATATCTGGAATGACTTCTGGTGCTTGTTCCCCCCACACACTCGTTTCAGAGGGTGGAAGGGAGCCCCTGATGTGCACAGGAACACATCAGAAAACAGCTCCAGCTCTGGGGTGCAGAACAATCAGGGACCCTACAAGTACCAAATAGCTCTCTGCCAAATCCACCGAGGTAGTTTTCCTTACAGACAGGCAGTGCTGAGCTTTCCATAGGGAAAGGTTAACTAAGTAATTTCATGCAAATCTTCCTTAGCTCAGAGGTATTTACTATGTTTGCAAAGTCCTTCTGCTGCTGCTGGATTTGTGCCTCAATTTGTGTCAGGCACAGGCAGAGAACAATAAGAGGCTTCCCTTTAAATTCAGTGGTGTGGTTGCTGGGAAAAGCTGGGAAAACTCAGTTACTGATTAGATTTGGGTAAGTTTCCTTAGAAGTGATCACCAATGGGTTTGTTAGTAAAGTCAAGCAAAGGTGAATAATTTCAGGAAAAATATAAGTGACATTTAATGGAGGAAAAAATAATTAATGGAAGAAATCAAAGGAAAAGAGGGAGATTGAACTTGTCCTGACTGGCCTGGAACAGCAGCAATGGTCTTTCCAGAGCCCACTGTGCTCACTGCAACCATAGAAAGTAACACAAAATTCTGCAGTTGCCCAGCCAAAAGCAGCAATGGTATTGCCATGTCTGAAAGAAAGAAGTACGGCAAGGAAAGGTTAATGGTTTTGGTAGAGCTCCCTGCTGAATGTGGCTTATGGTCCCTGTGGGGAAGGGGGAGCCAGAAAATCCCTCTACTGCAAACCGGAGAAGGATTTTGATTTTCTGATGCTCACTCTGCTGAAAAAAGATTATGGTACTGGTACTGTTGAAATCATGTCCTCACTGCTGAGCTAAAACTGAAATAAACCTGTAACCACAGAAGGGTTTGGCTTGAAAGGACCTTAAAGCCCATACAGTGCCACCCTTGCCATGGGCAGGGATAACTTCCACTGTCCCAGGTTGCTCCAAGCTTCATCCAGCCTGGCCTTGGACACTCCCAGGGATCCAGGGACAGCCACAGCTGCTCTGGGCACCCTGTGCCAGGGCCTGCCCACCCTCCCAGCCAGCAATTCCCAATTCCCAATCTCCCATCTGTGCCTGCCCTCTGGCAGTGGGAGCCATTCCCTGTGTGCTGTCCCTGCCTGCCTTGTCCCCAGTCCCTGTGCAGCTCTCCTGGAGCCCCTTGAGGCCCTGGCAGGGGCTCTGAGCTCTCCCTGGAGCTTCTCTTGTGCAGGGGAACAGCCCCAGCTCTGCCAGGCTGGCTCCAGAGCAGAGGGGCTCCAGCCCTGGCAGCAGATCCATATCCCCCCATCTCCTAATGTTTTGTGAGGAGCATCTCTACAGGGCACTTGTAGATCCAGAGTGACTTTGCCCCATTCCCGAAGGCCCTCAGTGGTGGGAGCATGGAGAGAACAGCTTGGACTTGGCCACACAGAGCAGCTGGGAAGGAGGAGGAAGGAGGGTGCATACCTGGCTGAAGGTCTCAGTGCAGGGAGGAACAGCTGTCATAACTGTTCTGGCAAGGGATGTCAAAGCTTTTGGTAGACTGCTCTGCACAGCTCCTGACAGGAGGGGACAGCCAGGGGGGTTGGGTTCTGCTCCCAGGGAACAGGGACGGGAGGAGAGGGAATGGCCTCAGGCTGGGCCAGGAGAAGTTTGGGCTCAAAATTAGGGAAAATTTCTTCATGGAAAGGACTGTCTTGCCCTGGCACAGCTGCCCAGGGTGGTGGTGTAGTCCCTGTACCTGGAGGTGTGTGGATGTGGCACTTGGGGCCAGGGCTCAGTGATGCTCTTGGTAGTGCTGGGGGCAGGGTTGGATCAGTGTTCTTGGAGGGTCTTTCCAACCTAAGTGATTCTGTGATCAATAATAAGACCTCACTGATTTTTACAAAGCCCTTTATTTTTGATCTCAAGGCTCATAAAAACTGCTACTCAAAACCAAAATGTTTTAAATTTTACATATGTACAATATGAGAAATAAATTATGCTTTAAGTCATACAAAAACCACAATATACAAATAGGGCTTTGAAACTTCTCTAAGTATGGCATGGCAACAACTCACCGATACTTACCAAAGGCTTCCGTTTTCAAAGTCTTTGCATAAAACCATGAAAAAAATATCCCCAAATGTGCTTGCTTTGGTTGGAATGAAGTTCTACAAAAACTGAAGAGATTTGCAGGCTTCAAAAGGACTTGCTAAGACTTCAGAACTCAGTGCACCACCATTTTTGAGATTGACTTTCTGCAAGCCAAAAGCTCAAGGGTGGCTATACCAATTCTCCTTCCAGAAAAAGGAAAAAAAAAAAAAAAAAAAAAAAAAAAAAAAAAAAAAAAAAAAAAAAAAAAAAAAAAAAAAAAAAAAGGGAAAAGCAATAAAAGAAAAAAGCAAGCAACCAAAACAAAACTTATTTCACCAGCTAACCAACTGACAAAGGCCCAATCTGCTGTAGCAAACAGGACAGCTGCGGAGTCTGTCCAACTCAAAGCCAAGCCAAGATCACCTGGGACCAAGGAATCCAGCTGGGGTGTTGTGACAATTGAGGGCAGGATGTTTGGCACTGAAAAATAAGGTCTCAATTAGGCATTGGTACTACAACAGCTCCTGAGCAGAGGGGAGCACATTCTCAGAGGTTAAAAGGAGTGGTGCAAAGCTCTCCTGAGGCAGCATGGTGTTTTGCCTTCCTCCATTCCTGTGGTCAGAACAGGGGCAGCTTCTCTCTGCCCCTTAAAAAGAGATCCCCAGGACAGCCCCACTGTGGACACTGACCACGCAGTGAGGAGCAGCTGCCACCACCACCTGCACCACGTCCTGCCCCAGGCACAGGGAGGACAGAGCTCTGCCTTCTCATCGGGCCATATGTCAGGCAAATAGACATTTCAGTATCAGAGCAGATTCTTTTTAAGGCAAGCAAAGGACAATTTGAAGTTAAGTGGCATTGTGCTTATCCCCAGCCCTTCCCTGGACAACCCCACACACCTGACCTGTGCTGGTCTCACCTTCCCACAGCCCACAGTGCTACAGGACCGTGGTAACCCCTACCCTAGGTGCTAATTTGTTCTTGGCAGCTCTGTCACCCACAGTCTGACAGGTAGTCAGCATGGTTATTTGTCTTCTCAACTCCACTGGCAGGCAGACCAGAAGATCATTGCTGAGGTCTCAGTCTGTGAAGATCTCATCCATAGTCCTGGTTAATGGGGAGCAGGGAAGGGAAAATGCAGCGTGTAACAGGTCATGGTAAGGTTAAATGCACAAACCAGGCTCCTTGGGAAAGGGAAAATAGAGTTTTAGTTATTCTAGGTCTAGGACCACAGTTCATCAATTGCTCCTCAGTTTCTTGCATCCAATTCAAGATGTTCTGTCCTGAAGAGCTAATTTCTTTAAGTGCTACCAAGCCAGGCTTCTCCCAGAGCATCTTGCCACCTGTGTGGTCTTCATGCATCTAGGTTGCTTGGTTGTGAGTCTTTAAGGAAGCCTTCAGAGCAGATTTGAGACAGACCTAGGGAAAACAGAGAGGAAAAAAGACACCTAGTTAAATGCAGAAATTGATAGGAATAATGAAGGATTTCTAAGAACTCATGGAATGCCAAGAACAGGTTTGGACAGCACAGGCTGGTGTTTTATTCTGCAAAAGCTGCCCTTTGCCCAGTAGCTACTCAGTGAGAGTGTGCAGCAGACATTATGCAGGCTGCAAGCAGAAATTACAGGGCTTGAGCTAGACCCTGCCTGTGCAGCTCCATTTGGGATGGACAGATGTTTGCAGACTCAATCTCTAAGGAGGAAACTATAACATTGCACTGACTTGGCAGAAACAGCCGAACAACAAGTAATCACTCATGATTTCTGGAAGGAAGGATCATTTCCTAGAAAAAATGGTGTGCTGGAACTGAGCTCAGCTCCTCTGCCTCATGCACAAGCTGCACTGCACGAGAAAGCAGGAAGGGCACATCTGCCAGCAATTCAGTTTTATGGGGGTTACCAAGTAGCATATCAAAACAGCCTTTTATTGTACCTGCAGGAATGTTTACTCGATCTTTTGAGACTCATGGCAGAGCAACAAGTTCTTGCACAGGAGTTTCATTCACAGAATTGTTTACTACCGTGGATAGCACAGCTTGCTGGTTTCTGCCAAACCTGGAATGAGACCAGCTTGCATTTCTGAGCTGAGTTCTGCTGCCCAGGAAGGCTGTGCAAAGCTCGACTTCCACAAGGCTCTGCTAGCCCTAGCAAGCACTTTGTCCTCTGGATTAGAAGTGACAAAGCTCCAAGTCTACAAACTGAAATTTAAGAGAGGGCAAAAGGCTGGGCTGAATCCAAAGGAAAGTATCATTTAGTCAAATGAACAGGAATTCATTCAAAACATGACCAGAGGCAATCAGGTTGCCACTGCTGGGACCAGACTTTCTGGAAGTCATGCTCTGAGGGGTGTCCTTGTGTCAGGGAAATTCCCTAGAGGTTAGGCAAGGTTGAGCTGCTTTGGCAGTGTCAGTCAGCACTCTCCCGAACCGGGGGAGATCAGCAGGCCTGGAGAGGAAGCCGCAGGAGTCAGGGCTGTAGCACCATGGCAAGTCCTCGCTTGAGTCTTCCTCATGCAGTTGAGCTCAAACTTTAACCAGGTGATTTCTTGGCAGCCCAAGGTCTTCCACCAGACTTTGAGGCAATGCCCTGCACTTCTCCCAGCTTCCCCCTGTTTTACAGGGCACTTAATAAATGACTCTGAGTTACCTTTCCACTATTGCACAGATCTGGGGCATTGGTGGCACCTTAGTTTAGCACCTACCACAATTAGGAGCAAGGACAGTGATATACCCATTGTGCAGTAAACATGCAAAGGTACAAGATGACAATCCAAGGTCAGAAAGAAGAATAATATCACCTACTTAGCAGTAGATATGGCATACATGAAAGTTAAGTCTGATAGCTGTGAATCTTAGGCTAGGGTTTCTTATATTTTTTGAAAGAAAAAGAGCTATCAGGAGTCCAAAAAAACAAAAAGAAGGTTCCACTTATCCCAGCCAAGCCACATGCATCATACAGACTTTCTCTTGACTGATTTCCATACCTTTTCTGCCATTCCTCTGTGCACTTCACAAACCAGAGCTCTTTGCCAGGAGATATACTGGTTAGCTGGGAGTCTTCCACACAGAAAGCAAACCTAGGAAGAGGAGGAATCAGAAGTCAAGGCACTTGTTGTCTCCTTGCTTAACAACCAACAAGTAACAAGGACTGCAAGATTACTCTAGGACAAGTTATTTAATTAGACAACCATCCCACAGAACATCTTATACACCATCAGCCCCTTGAGTCGCTGTTCTATTTCCTGCTTCAATATTTTACCTGGGGATCTTTGCTTCTACTACCCCTATGTTTCATAGACACCAGGATGCAAAGTACCTTACAGATGACAGGTGATGCTTATTTAAAGCACTGAGAAATGTGGGAAATTATCAGATTTTGACACATCTGGGTTACCTTCAGAACAACATTAACAGAAGACATGGGAGTACTGTGCTACATGCCTGGGAATTTTAACAATTTTTGGATGCTCAGGTAACTTTCCATTTGCAGAGAATCATAAAATCAGAGAATGGTTTGGTTGGGATGGGACCTTAAAAATCATCCCTGCCATGGTAGAGAACCTTCCACTAGAATTTTATGGTCAATTCTATGTTCCAGGGGTATGGGCTGGATTTGGAAAGGCCCTTAAAAATCCAGCCCCACCGCCAGATTCCAGAATTAACAATGCAGTGCTTGAGGGGTTGGTGTCACCATGTTACTGGTTGCAGTTTTAGGTCCTGCTGGTTGTGCCAAACCAGCATATTAAGCCTGTAAATAATAGCCATGACCATCCATGTTTCAGTACTTTTGGTGCTCAGTACTTTAACGCTACATGTACAATCTAAACCAGCTCGAAGCACATTAATTTAGTCCCCAGTGGATCCCACAGTATCAAAATAAAGCATAAGAATACCCCAAATCTGCTCTGTGATGACCAGTTTTGCTTAAAGCCTGTTTGCAGTGCTGGACAGTAACCTGCTCTCCTACACCACGAGAGAGCAATAGCTGGTGACACCAAAAAGGAAAGCAGCTCAGGATACCAACTGGGGACCATCCTGGATACCAACTCAAGATTCAAAGCACTGCCTTTTTTTTTCTCAGCTCTGGGTTGAAGTTTCAGGGCAGTTCACATGCAGCCTAGGACAATTATTACCTCAGTTGTGTTTCCCCAGATTTCACACGTATTCGTCTGATGTGGAGCTCCTGAGAGGAATTCACAGGCCTGTACCAGTAGCTCCTCAGCTCTTTCCACAGATCATACCACGACTGAGATGTCCCTTCCCAGGTGAGCTTTATTTTCAGAAGTTCACCCATGTCCTCCTCAGTATAGACCAGGAAGGTGTTCGTAGCATTTAGGCCAATTAGATCAAGCCTGGAAGAGAGGCAGAGACTTGGCATTTTTTCCTCATAGAAGCATGCCAGATGCTCCTTTGCTCCATGCCAGGAGTTTAACAGAGCCCCTGCAGCTTATCAAGTGCTGCACATTCAACTGTCACCAGTTAATTACTGATTACACCGACGGGAGCTCAGATAGCTGGTTCCACACAACACAATGTATACTTAGCTTCCATAGCTTAAAGGTGGGTTTTGTGCCTGGTCTTTCTTTTGGGAGAGGCTAAATGAGGTCAGCAGTGCCTCCAGAGACATTTCAGACTACGTCCAAATGGCAGGGGGCAAAAACAAACCAACCAACCAAATAAACCACACACACGAAAAAGCAATGAGCCATGAAGGCTAACAGGGGACTGGGCACATTAAAGTGTTCTCAATTCATCCAGTAATAAATTATAATTAAGCTACTGAATGAAAAGCTTTTTGGAAAGATGATGAAGTGAGGCTTCTAGGCTGGGATGCAATGCCAGTGTTAGCAGAAGAAAAAGAATTCTGCCATCCTGTGTAGTCCCTGTGGCCTTCATACTTAGGTAAAAACACAAATGGCAGATTACTTACATTTCTAAGGAGAGGGGCTCAGAGTCTCCATTGGTGCCATGGAGAGTGACAGAGAAGGTGGGATCAACCTCTCCCAGGCCCTTATAGCTGAAGACGTGCATTTTCATCTGGTAGTGGTAGACTGGAGAGAAAGAGAGAGCAGAGATGGAACCAGCTGTGCAAAAGGAAATGTTGCTCAGCACTGCTCTGTGTGAAATAGTGCTAGCTAGCAAAGACCAGACCCTTCATTTAGTGAGGCAGCGCTGATCACTTTTTCCTGCCCTTACTGATTACAAATTTGAGTTTTACACAACACCAGCAGCCGGCCCACCCTGAGGACAGCTCCCCAGACCTTACATTGCTCTGAGGCTGAGTTTTGCAGGTGAAGCACAGCCCTGCTCAGAGGGCAGAGTGTTGTTGCGGGTGGATTCTGCAGAGAGGAAGGAGCACAGTGATGGCAGAGCACGGCTCTGGGGAGATGCTGCTCCTCCACCTCTGCCTCCTTCCCAGCACCGACTCTGGGAGGCTGTGCTCCTCCTGGGAGGGGAAGCGTACCTTTGAAGGGCATGTCAGCCCTGGTTTTCAGGTACATCTTGCTGTTCCTCTTGTGCCGGATCCTGCGGGCGTTGTAGCCGATGCCGTTGCAGCGGTTCTTGCGGCAGCTCAGGCAGATTCCCTTCTTGAAGCGGCTGGAATCGGTGCACTGAAACGCGAAGCTCTGCTTGTCCTGGTTCACCAGGGAGTCCACGAAGAGGTGCACAGACCGCTCGTGCTCGCATTTTACAACTTCTCCAATTGCTAGAGAAGCAGAGTTGTAAGGGATACACTTGATTTAAGCAGCTGTCTCCCCAGTAGCCCATAAGATAAAGTGAGCTACCCCTTTCTGCAGCCCGGTATGAGCTGAGCAGGCCAAACTTGAATAGTTTTCCAACAGCAGCAATTAAGGAGATCAGTGGGAGATGCTCATTTAGTCCCTCCCATTAAGAGCTTTAAGAGGATCCTAGTCCCAGCATAAGACCATAGACTATGATCAGGTGTTGGGATGGGAATGTGCTTCATTGTTAAAAGCATCTATAATTTCTAGCAACTATCTCCAGAAGTACAGACAGTTTAGAAGGACAAAATAGTTTTCTTTCCATCAACCCAAGTCTGTATGTGAGAAGTCTACGCTTTTGACCACAGGCAAAAGGTAAAGAGAACTTACTCCCATAGGCAATGGCTCCCAAGACATCACTTAGGCCACAACCAGGCTGGAAGTCTCCCCCGTTGGGGTAGATGTCAAGGTGTCCCACAGGCATCTGGATCCCAATGCTAACACCCAGTGTTTCCCTGGTGTAGGTGTGAAGGACATCCACAAAGTTGGCATCATCAGGGGAGAGGCGCCTGCTGGGGTCCACTCCTTCAAACATGGGGCCGGCAGGATCCAAGCCTGAAGTCAGAGACAGAACACAACGGGCCAGGTAAGAAATTGGGCTGTTTCATACAGAATATGGCCAGAAACCTGCTGCTGGCAAGTCTCCTCACCAGCTGATACACAGACAGTCCCAGCCTCATTGTTGGTACTGTCCCTCAAGATGTCTTCACCACAGGCTCACTGAGGAACCAAATAAAGGTGTCTCACTCCACTTTTGGGACAATACAACCCAATAGCAGCACCATGATCAGATTGCCTGTTGGAAGCAAAGAGCCTTCACCAGGTGATGATGAAGAGATGATTCAAGAGACAGCTCCAAACACCAGAGGAGGTTTAACACCCCAGGGACAGCTGGCAGGCCAAAGCTGTCTCAGTGACATTCAGTCTGTTTTCAGGCTGCACATATGAAGGGACTAACAATTTAAGCAGCAACCAAGAAATACCTGCATCTGAGATCCCATGATGGGTTTGGGAATGCTCTGTTAACCCCTGAGCCTCACCCCTGACCAGAAGCTGTACTCCAGAGCATTTCTACCACTTGACTGTTAGGTGATTTTTTTTTTCCTCAATTAACTAAATACAGGTATTTATTGCCAGGCTGTGTGCAATTCTCACTCCCAGGGTCACATATAAATCCTTAATGTAACTCCTTGTACTATGCCCTAAGTTCTCACATATTGAAATCAGCTTTCCTCTGGAGCTGGAAGCAAACTCTTCAGATATTTCCAGAATGACTTGATTAGACTTGATTTTTTTTTTTTTTTTTTTTTTTTTTTTTNTTTTTTTTTTTTTTTTTTTTTTTTTTTTTAATCAGACATCCTCTGGGACAAACAGCACCCAATAGCTCTCACTTCCATTAGCTTATAAGCTATAATTACAAAAACACTATCACCCAGAGGAATAGCATTTGGATAGTAAGAGCTTGAGCTGGGCTTGCTTTGAACCCGCATTTAAATTTAAACAAAGCCAGGACGAGTTTGTCCTGGGTAAAGTTTTTTCACCGAAGCCTTGCTATAACTGATGTGAAGAGAACTGTGCTTTCCACTGCTGCCCCAAGTAGAAAACTTATCATTTCTGGAAGAAAAACACCAAGAAAACATTGTAGCAACACAAGAAACTCACTTCCAGGAAGGACAGGGGAGAAACTGCTTAAAAAGCCACTTGCCTGTAATTCTGCCTATAGTGCCATGGACGTGGTTACCAGCAAAGCCAGCCACATGGGCACCCAGGCTGTACCCAATCAGGTGGACATTCTCAAGCTTGAACAAGGGGTTTTCCTGCAAGGGAAAGAAAATGTGAGAGTTTGATCCCCTCTCTTTCACGGCAGCTGGTGCTGCTTCTGTCTGCAGGAATACAAAGTCTAGTTCTGAGAAGGGATTGGAGGGAGGGAGCAGATAAGGACGTTTCATTTTGTATTTCATCAAAACAAGTGGAACGGTTTGGATGGCACTCGTGGCTTACCCGTTTTCCAGCCCCGATTGTGATATTCTTTATCACCAAGATTAAAACTTTCCCGTGGGAGCTGCCCTGGCCTCAGGTGCCAAGTGCAGCACCATGGAGCTCTCCTCTTTCCCTGCCCTCCTGCCGGGCCAGTGCTGGCTCTGAACACCCAACTCCCGAGCCCACATTGCTCAGGCAGCACTCCCAAACCTGAATGCACTTCAGCACCACTGACCCAAGCACGCTGCAAGGCAGCATCTCCAGGAGGCAGGGCAGCAGCACTGCAGCTATGAGCCTTCGCCTGGCCAAGCCCTGGGCTGGGTGTTTCAGCACAGCCTGCCCTGCTGCTGAACGCTCTGCAGCCTTGTGCAACAGTCCCTCAGCGAGCATTACAACAGAGGCTGCTCTCAGCTTGCACTACCTGTAACCAGTCAAGCAACCTCGCTATGGTTTTTCCAACAATCTGCGTGTTGTTCACGGCATCGGTGTAGAGCTGGTGGGCAAGAGAAAGCCAGTCCACCACGACCACGTTGGCATCCTTCTCCCTCTCCCGCAGAGCGGACACCAAGCTGTCAAGCCAGGTTTCGAACATGCCACTCATCTAGAAAGAGATTCAGGTGTCAGTTTCCAGCTTGCAGGACCAAGATGACACATCCACAGTCTCGTTATTTGCATGGCATTTACATTTGCTGCTCCAGCTGCATGCTGCTCCTCTGCAAGCCCCACTACCTCTCAGCAACGCAGTAAGAGCATGCATGCAATCAAGTAAGAAAAACAGGTTTTGAGAGACTCTGGCTGTAATTACCCAGTTGCCTTCTAGGGCAGAAGGGAGAGGCATTCGTTACGTGCCACCTTATCACACTTTTTCTCAAGAGTTTCAGAAATTCTGATGGATTGCAAAATTATTCACCAGACCTGGCAGTGCGGTTTGCATAAGCCCTGGCAGAGCTGATAAGCCCTCGTGCCACACACTCAGCCTCATCAAATTTAGAATTAAAACCTTGATAAAGTCTGTGTGCCCTCTTGCTTCTTTATCAAGGAGTGCACATAGCAGACGTCAGGACTGGGCACTCAGCTATGATTACAGAAGGGCTACACACATGCCTGTCAAGTCAAGTGTCACATTCATAGTGGTCAGTCAGTTGGATTTTAGTGCCATGTTCACATTATACAGCTAGGAAGTGATCTTGAGCAATTATGAATGAGTTGGGTGATTTCAGAGTTCCTAAGCCTGACCCCGAACACTTTGCTCCAGCAATCTCAATAGAGGTGCATCTTTTAAGAGACCATTGTGCTCAGAACATGAAAAGTTTTCCCAAATTCCTATAGTCATAGAATTCTAAAATGGTTTGGGTAGGAAAAAGACCTTAAAGATTATCAAGTTTGAACTCCCCTGCCATCGACAGAGACATCTTCCACTAGACCAGGTTGTTCAAAGTGCCATCCAGCCCAGCCTTGAACACCTTCAGGGATGAGGCAGTCACAGAAATTCCTGAAAATAAATATTCTGGAGACACAGCACATTTACAGGGCAGTTTGTTCTCTCTGAGTGGGCAGACTAAGCATTGCCCAGGATTCTTCACACTTACCGTCCAGCCGTGAATGATGAAGAAGGTTTTAGCTGTCACGTTGAACTTGCAGTCCTCCAAGCACTGGTGCTGGCCGATGGCGAGCGTGCAACCATCCTCACCGGCGCCCGGCGAGGAGCGCAGACCGAACTTCACCCTCGCCTTCTGCGCCGGCACACGCTCCGCGCTGCCATCTGCGAGCCAGCGGGAGAGAAGGGTCAGCAAAGCGCCTCGGAGCCCGCCTGCCCCGCGGGGGGACCGGCGGCTCCGCCGGTCCCGCGTGGCACCGCGCTCACCCACCTCCAGCCGCGGGCAGCGCCGCCTCCGCGCCCCGCGCCGCGATGCACCAGGACACGGCGCTGCACAGCAGGAGGAAGAGCCTCCTCATGGCTCGGGAGGGCGGCCGGACAGGGAGGGCTGGAGCAGGGAAGGAAGGAAAGGATGGGTGGATGGATGGATGGACGGACGGATGGATGGACGGATGGATGGACGGATGGATGGACGGATGGATGGGAGGACGGACGGACCGACGGACACACGCGCGGCGGCGGCGGCGGCGCCGCTTTAACAGTGGCACCATGGCGGGGCGGGGCCAGCGCGCCGCTCCGATTGGTCACGCCTTCCTGACGTCACGGATGGCATGAATGGGAGGCCACGCCCAGAGGGGGCGGGGCCAAGGGGGTCCCCAAAGCTGGAACCGCGAGGGGCGCGGGGGACATGTGGGGGACACGTGGGGGACACAGGGACCCCGAGGGACACAGGGGACATGTGGGGGACACAGGGATCCCGAGGGGCACAGGGGACATGTGGGGGACACAGGGACCCCGAGGGGCACGGGGGACATGTGGGGGGCTCGGTGGGGTCACTGGGACCCCGAGGGACACAGGGAACATGTGGGGGACACAGGGACCCCGAGGGGCACAGGGGACATGTGGGGGACACAGGGACCCCGAGGGGCACGGGGGACATGTGGGGGGCTCAGTGGGGTCACTGGGACCCCGAGGGATACAGGGGACATGTGGGGGACACAGGGACCCCGAGGGGCACAGGGGACATGTGGGGGACACGTGGGGGACACAGGGACCCCGAGGGGCACGGGGGACATGTGGGGGACACGTGGGGGACACAGGGACCCCGAGGGACACAGGGGACATGTGGGGGGCTCGGTGGGGTCACTGGGACCCCGAGGGGCGCGGGGGACATGTGAGGGACACAGGGACCCCGAGGGGCACGGGGGACATATGGGGGGCTCGGTGGGGTCACAGGGACCCCGAGGGGCACGGGGGACATGTGGGGGGCTCGGTGGGGTCACAGGGACCCCGAGGGACACAGGGGACATGTGGGGGACACAGGGACCCCGAGGGACACAGGGGACATGTGGGGGACACAGGGACCCCGAGGGGCGCGGGGGACATGTGGGGGACACAGAGACCCCGAGGGACACAGGGGACATGTGGGGGGCTCGGTGGGGTCACAGGGACCCCGAGGAGCACAAGGGACATGTGGGGGGCTCAGTGGGGTCTCGGGGGACATGTGGGGGGCTTGGTGGGGTCACTGGGACCCCGAGGGGCACGGGGGACATGTGGGGGGCTCGGTGGGGTCACTGGGACCCTGAGGAGCACAGGGGACATGTGGGTGCCTTGGTGGGGTCACTGGGACCCCGAGGGTCACGGGGGACATGTGGGGGGCTCGGTGGGGACACAGGGACCCCGAAGGGCATAGAGCACATGTGGGGGGGTCACAGGGAGTCACCCCGAGGGGCACAGGGGACATGCAGCCCTGTGTGGGGAGCTGGTGAGTTTTTGGGAAGGGTGCTCAGTTGTGCTGACCCCTCATGCTGCAGTCCCACATGCCTGTGGGGTCTCTGCTTTCCATCTCCACCCCCAGGGACCTCCAGATCTTCGCCACTTGGGCCCTCTGGACCTAACAGGCACAAGATGCTTCCCGAAGGGCATTGCTCGACTTGCAGCCCACTATATTCTGCAGTATGTTATTGATATCATAAATAATTTTGGACTCAAAAATTAACTGTTTATTTCTACTTTTTCATTACTTTTTACCAGTTGCTGATGTGTGATAAGTTATTTCACTTTATACTGCTGCTGTCTCACCACACTGTAAGATCATGCTCTGGGGACAGATGATTTTCCTGCTCTCTTTTTCATCTCCTTCCTCATCCCCGTGGCCCCTCTTTCTCTCCAAATTCACAGAAGAAATGAAAGACAGAGCAGCCGGGTAAAGAAAAAAGGTGTAGGGCAATGATGGGCAAAGATCAAAGATGTGTAGTGGAGCACCCAGGATCTGTGGATGCTCATGGTCAAAAGGAGAAAGTCAGAGGATCTGCAAAAACTTAAAAATTGCACACTTGACATGGGAACTGGTGTGTTTGTCTCTGGTTTTGGGAAGGAAGGGAGG